TCATAGCAATAATACTTCAAATGAGATAGTACGTTTTTTAGCCTTGGAAATGTAAACTTTAGACTTAATGAGTGAAACGATTTCTGTTAGGAAGGGATTCACTTGTAATAAGTTTATTTCCATGTTTCAAAAATATAGAAGTCTAGAATATTGCATAAAGTATATGAGTTATAATTATATTTCATACCCTATGTCTTTTATATAGAGTATCGTATCATAAGAAATTACACATGTGTTATGAATCCCTTCATTAATTTTTTCCACTCAATACGAATAAGAATAAGTATTCTTGTGAAAGAAATGTCCAGTAACTTTATTTTCATTCATTATTAACTCGTAAATCAGCATATCATATTATTATTGCCGGTTTAAATATATTAGGGATAATATCAAGTCATTTATAATGTATGTTGATGTATAATAACTAATATTTCCTCATTCAATCATTTAAACAGGTTGAAGCTATGATTCCAAAAACATTGTATAATACTTCATTATGTTTAACTCATTTTTACGAAATCAGTAAATAAACAATTTCTGTTTCCTGTAATTTTAACACTTTTCAGAAATAATAAAATTTGTAGGGTTTTTTTTAAAAACAATCAAATTGAAAAATCTTGTAATATTGATGGTTGAACAATGTTGGAAAATTCAAATTCAACTTCAGTTTTTATTTGACACTAATAGAAGTTTGTTTTGTTTTGTTTCTATTTGCTAATTTAATTTCAAAATCCAAATTAAGTAAATTTTAGAAGAAAAAACAACTAACAAACTGATTAACTACTTTGTTCAAGAATGTAAATTAATAATTTATTTTAAAGTATACAACTTAAATAGTATAACGAAGCTATTTTATTAGATGGAAATTAACTAATCTATGACAAAGTTAAAGATCATACACCAACTAATGATTATTTTACATTATTTCATTATATCCGTCATAAACTGGAAATACTTATGTTAAACAATACTTTGGTATGATAACTATCAGAAAAAGAATTGGCACTGTTTCAATTGTTAAAAGTTATTTAAGTAAACATTTGGCATTGAGTATTGTTTGTTCATACAGTAGATAAACATTTTATTGTGACTGTAGTGAGGTATTAAATGTTGAACCACTTATTGAAATTGTTAATAACTAAATCTTTTTGACTAGAAGGTCTCATGCTCGCCACAATACATGAAAGTTCACGGCTCTACTTCATGCATGGGGACGTGGATGTCAACTTTTGTGGAGTCGGGCACTAGAATTACTTATCGCTTTCAAGTCATTTTATAATGAATAACTTTTACAAACAACCCAAAGTGTGGCCAATTTTTTTGTATCTAAACAAAATAGAAGTAGGTATCGGTTAGATAAATTCAATTTAACATAGACAGAGCATTTTGAAAACTGTTTTTTTAATTGAACATTTCATCTAAAAATTCTTAATACGCGCTCAAATATAGTATCAGTAAGGTTTTTCATTTACAGGCTATTCCTTTGTGATCACTATAATGATAGCACTACCAAAATGATAAAATGATGCGGATAATTGAAATGACTAAACTGACCATTCGATCACTCAACTGATCCTTGAATCCTCAATGAATATAACTAAGAAGATATATTCACTACCTAAAGTGTAGTGGTCATTAGAAACCAAACAATTCGGCATACACTAACCTCAGTTTTGAATAATTGTTTTCAGAAATTTGTTAAATGTATTATTAAACAATAGGAGTATATGAAGTGCAATTAAAATGAAAATTAGTTTAGGCAGTTATACTATTTATATTAAATGTGTAGCTATTATATAACAAATAACTTATTTCTTTTGTTAAACTAACTTGTTTATAAACAATTAGAACTTCATATTCCTATGCAGATTTGTATTTCTACAACTATATTATCTAACAACTGAATTAGTGATAAAATTTATGGCAGTTTTTATGTTAAAAGTACACTTTTATACATTTTCAATCATTTAAATATTCATGTATTTAATATCTTACATTTGGGACTAAAAATGAGCAAAACCAGATTACTTGCTTTTTATATTTTCAATAAAAACAAATGGAAAAAAAATTAATTAACATTTTACAATTTAAAAGCAGTTTACGTAGTGGATTGATTATAGACAAGTAGTCATTGAAAATTAGGGATTATTGATTGACTGTTTCGTCGTAGAACAGAACTCATTAGCAGTGGGGACTCATGATCTCATAAGGTCACGTGGCAAGTGCCTTATCTTTAGATCACTGAATTGAAATACAATGGTTATAATTTTAAACTTCACTTATTTCGCGACATATTGTAGTCATCATCCGCCGCCAACGCTAATGTTTGTCCATTCCAGACAATACTGAACCCAACTGCCTATGAGTTCGTAATAAGATCTCAGAAATCTTCCCAAAAATTAGTAGCTTGTGAACACATGATTATTATTAAAAGTAGATTTTTGTCAAGATTGTTTAATATTGTAGATAGTACACATTAGAAATATGTTCCAAGGTATTAAATGTGTACGGCAAGGGAGTCCTATACTAAGATGAAGCAACTACCATGTGTTCTGTGGTCTGAATGGTTGTATAGTTAAAGTCAATCTTGAATATGACAAATCTTTAAACAATTTAAAGAAACCTCTTTTTCTAAATTGAAACGTTTTGTATAATATGCAATATTAATTTGATATTATCATTTTGTTATATATTGAGGGCCGCCGAGTAGAGGGCAGTGAGTTACCGATCGGATCAAGGACGCGTAAAACACGTGCGAGCGGCCTAGAGTTCTGATTGGTCCTGCTTTCCGTCTAGCCCAGCCAGTTAAGTCCGAAACGCCAATCTCAGCCTCTGCGATATGAATCGTTATAGTTCAAACATACTGAGTTTATATACCAATCAAACAGATCACAACGTAGCATAAAATAGAAAATAACTTTTGTATAAAATTTGGTCAAATGTGGCTGTGAATGTGGGAGGCAGTGACTAATAAACAGGGCATAATTCAAGAATGGTAAAATGTATAATAATGGTTCATAGATCAAAGTAAAGCTTATAATAACGGGAACATGAATATGAATAGTTTAGTTATTTAACAATTATAAGATAAAAATATACGTGTAGTATTGGTCCACAAACGGATCCCAAAATTACCATTTATTATTCTTGTCGGGACATAGCACATTTTTGATAAAAAAATTGTTAATTATTTATTAAATTATCTACTTAGTTATCATGCTAAAATTCTAAAAAGAAATTCTGTGAAGCTTAAAGATGGATTGTGGTTAATAGTGGAATTCATGACAATGAAAAGATACAAGCAAAACAACACCAAGTGAATCTGTAAAAATTAGTTTTTTAAATTTTTCCCATCAAGAATTCCACATAAAATCAAATTTTCTGAAATAAATTTTCTAGACTTTTTAAGTGGTATTGTAGCGAATAAGTGCATAAGTGGGAACTAATCGAATATAATTGAACACAAAATTACAGAATATCTTACTAAAATATGAGAATCACACAGTAAATATTAAATTTGCAAAATATCAATCCATTGCCTCAAACTTGACTATTTCTTTTGTAAATATCAGTTCATCGTCTTAGAATTCATTGTTTCTACATTTTTATACCATTTGTTTTCCGTTCCCGTTCTTTCCTTCTCGATTTTTTATTGAAATACATTCTAATCCGGTCTATCGTTATACACTACTAATGTGGATATATGTAGTTCATACCATAATATCAAGTCAGTTTAAAAAGTGATTTCTCAATATCGATCAGTTTTAAACTATGACCTTCTTGGCCTTATATAGTCATAATATACATGAAGACTGATAAGTGAATAACCTAAATAATGTTGACCTTAAATATTTAAGTGGTACAATTTCATGAGGAAATTACTGAAAGAAGTATATAGAAAAGATGAATGGTAACTAGTAGTGGAATCTAGGATGCATATATCATAAGGCTGACGAGTTATAATTAGGACGAACCGCCCATCTATGATTAAAGTGCTAGAGATAATCCTTCTATTCAATATAACATTTATTATAGTAGATATATCGAGGGAATCAACCCAGTATTTACATACGGCAACAAAGACTGATTATGTTTCAGTTCGAAATACCAATAACATAATAACTCAAACTCCTCCTAAAATGATATGAAAGAATTGTGTTTGTTAAGATGTATATTCAAAATATACTGATTTTTAATGTCTAGAGCGAATAGTTAAAGTGGTTTTATAGACAGGAAAATGAATAGATATTAATTTTATTAGTGTAATGAATCTATCAAGATTGTTGGATTTTATGATACAAATCACAAAGTGAACTTAAATAATCACTGGAAACCATGAAGCATGAACAGCTTTTTCATCCTAGTATAAGACTCATCAATACTTACTATCCATGACCACACCGCAGATCGAACTTAGAGCCTTCAAGTTCTGCAATAAGACTTAATCGTAGATGGGAACTTCTGAGTTCCGTATTAAGAAAAAACAGCTGTCCAGTCCTTTTTGGTTCATAATAATTGTCTAGTAAATGTCATTGAGAGCTGTAAACTATATTATTTTACAAGAAAAGCTACCAACTTAAACTTGTCATATTTTCTACAATACTAAAACCAATCAATCAAATAGTATAGTTTTTAGCTTCAACTAAATGACAATTTCGTGGATTGGTTGAAGTTAGACATTAACACCGTTAGATGCCGGCTCAGTGGTCTAATGGTTAAGTGCTTGCGCGCGAGAGTAACAGTTCCTGTGTTTGAATCCCACGGGGGCGTGGATGCGCACTGCTGAGGAGTTCCATACTGAGACGAAACGGCCGTCCAATGCTTCCAGGTTTTCCATGGTGGTCTGGCTTCAATTGACTCATGATTTCAACTATTAAAATTAAAATGAACTATGAAGATTGGTTTTATTTAAAATTTATGCAAATCATGATTTAAGTTAATTAAAACAAATTTTCATAATATGCATTTACGTTATTTTATGAAATATAAATTTCATTTAGTTGCTCAACGTTTAGCTAAAGAATATAATATACCTGTAATTAATGCTGGTGATTCAATACGTTGGATATTAAATGATCCAAGTCATATGCATACATCATTAGCTATTAGAATCAGAGAACAATTTAATCGAGGTGAATGTATTTCAGATGAACTAACAGCTCAAGCTATTCAAACATTATTAATGAATGGTCTTTATTTCACACGTGGGTAAGTTAATTTTTAATGTAAATAAAAATTACATCAAGAATAATACATTTCCTTACTAATATAAACTTAGAAATATTTTCATACACTAGTTTCAGTGTTTTTTTTAGGGAAAGGTGAATTATATATTGTAAACGGATTATTTTATACTTAAACTACATACTTGAACACATTGTAAAAATAAGTTTAGTAGTGAGTACTTATAGAAGAACACAAGAAATCCTTCAGTCAACACCTTCTACTCAATATAGAGGCTAATAACATGAAGTTTCATCAACATATTTCACATGACTATCGTGACGTTTGATCAGCTTCGGAGAATCATTCAGTCAGCTACAACGTAGGACCAGGCACATATATGCATCGGTCCAAGTTGCCATACCGCATTAGCACAACAAGATGAACACCGGATTCATAGAAGTAGTTAATTCAGTGGTGGTAATATATAGAAGAAAGAGTGTGTATAAGGAGATAGTACAGGAAGAAAGAATTAGTTCGTAGAAAGAAAGATATGAAGCGACTTTAATCTCTTAGTTTAAAGCAAGACAGAGGGTGTATACACCGACGCCATTGTGATGCATGTCACCAAGAATCTCCAACCATTGGTTACGATAGTCACGCAGACCCCAACCAAGTAGTCTGCATCCACCAACATGACTGAGACCAGAAGTTAGTGACTTCAAGCACTGATGCCACGTTTTGGTTTGGCCGCCCCTAACTTCCTTCCAATTATCCCTAACACCGGTTAGCATCGCACGTCGTGATAATCGGTGTTCAGGCATACGCAGCACATGGCCCAACCATCTCAGTCGATGAAGATTCATAACTTCATCAACTGATTTACCATCATTTCCTAATACCCTGCGTCTAACCTCACTATTGCTTACCCGGTGATCCCAGCAGATGCGAGCAATATTTCTAAGGCACCTGTGGTCAAATTCTTGTAGCTTACGAGTATCTTCTACTCTTAATGGCCACGTTTCACAGCCTTATAGTAGAACGGAACGAACTGCCGCGCAGTATACTCGACCCTTAATTGATAGACGGATATCTCGTCTTCGCCATAGGTGACGTAAGTTGGCGAAAGCCAAACGAGCTTTTCGAATCCGTGCTGGGATTTCGTCAGACACCAACCCATTAGAGCTGATCAGACTTTCAAGATATGTGAAGTTGTCAACGCGTTCGACTACTTCACCCCCTATGCTTAGTTCAGGTGTTGACGCAGACCAGTCCTGAAGCAACAACTTGCATTTAGAGGGGAAGAAGCGCATTGGAGAATAGCAATAATCAAAGTGAATTGTGAAGTAAATTCATACATTACTGAATCGAAATAGATTTTAGAAAACCGTCAGTTTTATCAACTAGGTTTAAAGAAGGTTTGATAGTAATGAAATTAACACGGTGTTAAAGCAAAAGTGGTATTAGAGACTATCATTTCTGCCTACAGAGTTGTGGTAAGAAAAATTCTTTTTAAACATTTTAGGGCAGAAAATATCTTTTTTAAATGGAAAAACTTTGAAGTTATAGGCTGATGGACTGCAATTTTTCAATTAAGTGGCTGGTGACATAACTTCGGATAAAAGCTACTTTAACTTTTATCTTTTTTATAAGATAATAGAATGGCGAGTAGATAATTCTTTTACAAGAAAATTGAGTTTAGATGATTGTAGACTCATACAATATCGTTCTCTCTATGTTGTAAACCTTTCAAAGTATTGACTTCATGTTAATAATTTCTATATTTTATACTTTTAAAAATATATGATAGATTAATTTGAGTTCAATCTAATAAGTCACTGCATACAAATGAAATTAAATAACTCATACAATTTAATTCTGTTTGATTGGTTTATTAAAATTTACCATATATTTCTATGGTTTAATTATCTGGCAGTTATATCCTGGCACATGTTATTGATAGTGGTCATGCTGTAGATAAATCAAAATCATTTCGAGTGATCTATCGTATACCTCCATCATTTCCCAACGGAGTTCGCTCCCGCCTCCTACATATAGCTGAAGCCATGGGAATCCGTACATATAACCACAATTTATGTGTACAGAAGAAATTAATAACTCCCCCATCCCTTCCATGGCCAGTTATAACTTAACTAACGATTAATTTTTATTTCTATTTTTTTATTTTTCTTTATTATTTTTATTCTATCATTATCCTTATTTACACATCCATTATTTCTAGAAGGGGTTTTGTGGAGAATTGGTAATTTCTATAGTTGAAATCATGAATCAATTGAAGCTAGACCACCATGGAAAACTTGGACGGCCGTTTCGTTCTAGTGACTGACTTCAAGAGATACTCCTGGAATTCTAGTGAGAAGCCGTGACCGGTGGAGTTCAACCAGGTCTGTTGTGAGATATCAGCTCACTGAAGACAATGGTGTACGGTGGCGCAATTCCGCGGGTTGGTTGAAGTTAAACATTAACACTGTTGGATGCCGGCTGGCTCAGTGGTTTGATGGTTAAGCGCTCGCGCTCGAGACTAATAGGTCCTGGGTTTGAATCCCGCGGAGGGTGGGATCGTGGATGCGCACTTCTAAGGAGTCCCGTACTAGTACGAAACGGCCGTCCAGTGCTTCCAGGTTTTCCATGGTGGTCTAGCTTCAATTGATTCATGAGTTCAACTATTGAACATCCATTATTTGTTTGTAATTATCCGCTTCTTTCCGTTTGTATTCTTCACTATCTAATTATTTACACACTTCCTATTACGTAATGATTTTAATGCTTTGTGATGACTATTCCATTTACCCATGTTTGACCTACTATCTCCAATGTAGTGAAAATTCCCATTTGGACATTTGGTAAATACAGAAGGAACGAAGTGAGCGAAAAAATTTCTTTTCAATTAGTTTTTCATCACGGCTCTACACTAATATATATATGATTTACAAAATGATATAATTCTCATTGAGTGGATACGTTACGTAATAATTACACAATGACATTTAAATTAACATCGAGTAGTTTGGACGAAAGACGATTATTAATATTCAAAGTAATTATTAAATCAAGAAGTAGCTATGTTGCATAATATAGGAAAAGAGAAGGAACAAAATTTGTAATAGATGGTCAATAGACTAGTAGTTACGTAATAATCAAGAGATGAATGTTGAGAAATTATAAAGTTTAAAAACAAACAACAAAAACAAAATTAAAAAACCCGAATGTGAGAAGTATGAAAAATAGTTCTGTTGAAGGGAATGTTATACCGATGGCCAAGGCAGCGAAAGTGGTTGAACAAATTTCTTTTGAATGCAAAGATCAGGTTTGTGAACATGGATTGCGATGGCTTCCGCAATGTGCAAAAGGCGCACTCGTAAACCATGTGGTAAAGTTGATGGGATATGGTAGATAACAGTAAAAGCTTTATTCAATTCAACTTGGTGACCTGTGTCAACCAAATGAGCGAGAATAGAACTTTTAATCACTTTTACCTGTCCTTTATTTAACCACGACGGATGATGTTCTGTAATACGGTGACGAACTTTCCGAATTGTACGCCCCATATAACTGGCTCCACAGGAGCAGTTGAACCGATAGATACACATAGATTTGGCGAATTCAGGCAGTCTGTCTTTATTGGTCGTTCTTATTTTGGGGCAGTTGTAGAAGATAGCATTAAGTTTGGCTGCATTAAATGATTTTTGTACAGCTCTTCTTAGTTTCTGAGTCACGATCTCTTCAGTAGTATCATTTATGTATAGTACTTTCTTAGGGACCGTGGGTATCTTCATCTCCATCATGTGTTTGTCAATGAATTTCAAAAAGTACCCATTCGTACTAAGTATGTTCCGAATTTTAACCAATTCTTCTTCAATGGTGTCTTCCGAGCAAGTCCTTCTGGCACGATTGGTCAAGATCTTTATCAAGTTCCTTTTGTATCTGATTGGAACTGCACTGTAGAAATGGGTGTATTGTCCTGTTGCCGACTTTCTGTGTAACCCTCTTTATAAAGTTCCATCTGCTCGTCTAGTTAGTTGGACATCTAGAAATGATATGTTATTGTTCTGTTCATCTTCTGATGTAAAATTAATAAATGGATGAACGTTATTAAATGTATTTAGTAAATTGTATTTATCATGCTCTTTTTCTAACACTATGAAAGTATCGTCTATGTGGTGATAATAAGTTGTTTTTCAATCTTGTCTACTATGTCGTTCTTCACAACCAGTTTCTGAAATTTGCTTTTATCATTTAAAATGGCTTTCATTTTGTTTATATAGTTATTTTTATCTATGAGTACTATCCTATGTCCTTTGTCCGGTTTCGTGATTAATAAATTGTCATTAGTTTTAAGTTTTCTTAAAGCTTCTAAATGTTTTTTCGTCAAAATCCCTTTCATATTATGTCCATGATTTTAGTATTTAAAGCAACAGTCGACTAGTGTTGATTTAAATCTTTCGACATTATCTTTTGATGAAGTTACTAGTTCTGCCGTTTGATCATACAGATTTTCAAATTGAATTTCAACGTCCATTTTATTGACTGTTTTCATAAAGTCACAAAACTTAGGGCCTAATGATCACGCTCCTAACTCAGTTTTATCCAGCAAAACACTAGGAAAATTGTGTACATACTGACCTGGATTGGACGGAAATTTCATTTCTGGAATCTGTTTGTCTAGATTTTTCATAAGTTTCATCCTTTTCTTTTCTTTTCTTGAGTTAACCACCATCTCAACATATTCCATATATTGCACTCTTAATTTATCAGGGAGATCTACTGCGTAAATTATCTCGTTGACATTTTTTTATCATCTCGGCAATGTATGAGTTTAGAGAATCAATTTGATTAAGGGCGTAACGTTTGAGAGTCCTTCCATTTGGTTGAACTCGAGAGCGACGTAAAGATTTCCAATACAATTTTGGATGCAAGTTGGTTTCTATGCACTCCTTTCCAATGTTTAACTATCGATAAGACTTGTTATCGTATTTTATTATTTTTACTACTATCAGTACACCTGTCTTCCTACTATCAACTTGTACTTTTATCTATTATATGTGATGACTTATTCTATTTCATTGTAATTACTGACCCGAATTGCCTTGATTGGTTTAACATTTTCGTATAAATATTACTGTATATTAGAGTAAAGCCTGATGACGATCTAATTGAAAACAATTGTTCGCTTATATGTGTTCTAATTTTCACAATGGGAATCTAATATTCTAATATTTTTTTATTTAATAATTATTCATTATTACACTAGATATTAATCATGTATAAATTATATTTTATTCACTACTTACAATTCAGATATATTTTAGAAAATTATCCATTAACTAGAGAACAAGGTGAATTATTATCGGTTTTGGGAGTTCGACCAAATCTTGTTATTGAATTAATTGTAAAAAATGAAAAACAAAAGTATGTTTTACTAGTTCATTTACACTATTAATAAATATTAATTATAAACTAATGATAAAATCAATATATATATATATATATATATATATATATATATATATATATATATATATATATATATATATGAGAAATAATTTTATATTTTATTCTTGTATTTTGGCTATCAGTCAGTCAGCAACATTATAGAACTTCGTACGTACGTATATCAGTTCGAGTTGCCATACCATATTAGCACAGGGATACAATTGCCGATTAAAATCCTATAGTGGTAGAAGTAGTAAAAGTATAAGCAATAATAGGGAACATTAGGGTTTGAAGATGTTATTCAAGGAGTATAATCCAGTGAAATAAATTTGGAAAGAGGAAAAAAGGAGGGACATGAAGAATTCGGAATATTAGAATTTGGGAGAACATAAACGATTTTGAGCCATGTCATTCAGGGTCTCTAACCATCGGTTGCTATCATCTCACGGTCCCGAATCAGGTAGTCTACATCTACCAACACGGTTCAGTCCATTTGTCAATAACTTCATGGATTTATGTCATATTTCGATCTGGCCGCCCCTAGCTTTCTTCCAACCTACTCTTACACCATAAAACATCGCACGTCGGGGCAGCCAGAGGTTGGGCATACGTAACACGGGTTCCAGCCATCTCAACTGATGAAGTTTCACTACTTCATCAATTGATTTTCCATCCTTACCTGATACCCGTTTCCTAACAACTGAGTTACTTACTCGGTGGCCCCATGATAAAAGTAATGCATGAGGTATTATAGTTATGATATAATGCGGTCTCTTATTAGTACTTATAAATCAATACCGGACTTTATTCCGCTTACTGGAAAATATTTTATTCCTGAAATAAAATAGAGAAACAGCTTTATGTATAAAGATGATTATATCTGTGCTTAACTATCTATATATAGTTTCTAACATTAAGGAGTACGATATTGATTTCATTTATAATCTAGAGCATATCAGTTAAGTTTAAAATCATAATGAAAATCCTAATATTCAAGTTTTCTCAAAAAGTAATGTAATAAACATACATAACACTTTCATTTGAAAAATTTCCAATGTTGGTCTAAATTTTAATAACTAATATTTAATCGAGTTTTTAACAAAATCCGTACAAACGGTTATTATATGTAGAATTATGCTAGATATTTTAAAAGTTTCTTGATGAGGGTGGTATTTCTCACGGTAAATACCAGTCCAATAACCGACCAATAAAAAGACAGACCAAAGTAAAAAGAAACGGTCTTATTACATTCCATATCATTTTATGAGTATGTAACCATAACGTGTTTAGAGATATGATTTACGATCAACATGCTAAGTGACTATGATCTTCATTTGTACCTCAAGACTATATTTCAACCGACAATAGTTGTCATAAATGATCTCACTATTCAATAGTTTTCAAAGATAACTTTGCCTTATATAACTATTCGAAAATCCATATCATTAGATAATAAATTTGATAATATCGGCCAATGAAATATAGTCCTGGGGTACAAATGAAGATCATAATCACTTGGCATGTTGATCGTAAATCAATTTTATAAAATGGCGTGAAAAAAAATTAAATCATAAAACACAAAAACTACCGTGGGTTTATTGATATTCACTGTTGTCATTCTGATTTCAAATCAGTATTGCATAATGACAGAATAATAGAGTATATAGGCCAAAACGAAACATCTAATTGATGTTTGGTGTTCAGTAAATTTGTTAATTAATATCTAGTTGGTATGAAAAACGTTTTTATATGTGCTGAAAAATACCGGCCTCATAAACTATGAAAGGTACTAACTGATTAGCAAGTGCCCTTAAAATAACCGCTCGTTGCATACATTCACAAGGTTTCATTTTTTAACTAGATAAGTGGTAAGTTCGAACTACATATTTTAAATCAAACAATTATAACATTGCATATTTCTTTATTTCTGTAAAACTAAATTATTTGAATTTTGACAGTAATTTTCATGTCTTACTAAAAACAATTGGATAAGAGTTGGTAATTAAAATGTCTCGGATAGATATTTTATCCTCCTATGAGAATCCACAGCAGGGTGTATTCAGTGGCTTGGCACGAAATTGAAAAAAAGATCTCCAGGTCTTGTGATAAACACGATAACATTGGATAACTTAGATAAAATAGAGTTGTTTAAACTTTCAGCTAATTTCTGATGAATCACGTTCCCAAGTCATATCTTTGTTGGGTTTCTAGTTTACAAGTTATTTGTTTGACTCTACATGGTATGGATTCATACTAGAATTACTGGGGATTTTTCATTAGAGATTATATAGTGATTACTTTTCCGGGTTTTTTAAATTGATTGCTCTAGAAGCATATAATAAACAAATTATATAGTTTAGAAGAAAAATGAGCAGTTTATCTCTCATAAAAAGATGAGATTGATGACTGGATATTTCTTATTCAGTATCGTTCTAGTTTTAGGAAAATCCGTAAAATGAAAACAACTTGATGAATTTATCTTTCTTTGTGAGGTTTTGGTGTTAAATGTGTTAATATTAACGAAGATTTCAAAACGGCATAGGATTTAAAGGATGTTACAACACATAAAATATCAGTAGTATCTATTATTATTATTCTGGGAAAGGCTGTTCGGAGTACGACAGTATTAACAATATCAATTGGATTTGTTAACATAATTAATAATAATTTGATATCACTGATTTAGAGAAGAATTAATTGTACGAGGAATTACACAATCATCAATCACAAATCAAGTAAAACTGTCCAAATCAAGTCTTTCATTTCTTACCTTTGATGAAAAACATATGACGACAAATGGGACTGTAGAAGAACACTATTCAGATAATGAACCAGAAAGAAGTGAAGAAGGATTCAAATTGCCTGAACCAGAAGTGGATATTGCACAAGAGTTAGTTATTCGTTTAGCAGCTTATGATAACATCATATTACAACTTAAAGAATGGTATTTATCTCGTAACGGAATTCTAGTTGAATTAGAAGCTGTTCAAAATCGCTGGTTATTATGGCGTAAAGTGATTTATTTAATTAAGCATAGGATGAGACATATTGAAGAATATATGGAAAGAATAACTGCTCGTAAGTTATATCTTAATCTCTCCATTTTACATGTTGCATGATACACAGTACAACATAGTACCAACCTATCATTTTCATGAAATGAAAACAATAGTCCTTCGCCAGACCGTACCTGCTACCTCGACGTGGGTGTCAAGCTTGCCTATTGCGATGATTTAACTGACCTATATTGGCTGGGACACATGTTCCTTCAAGTCCTACCACGTCACCCAGATAGGTTGGAAAACTGTAACACTGGAAGCAATAATTTAAGGCACGAAGGGAAAGTCGTACTACTGATTGTAGAGAGGTATAAAACAGCAGTAAGATGTTTCCCTCAGACAACCAGCATCTGCAGTGATGCTTCCTCCTCGCAACAGAAAGAAGTGGTTAGAAAAGGTCGATTCTCAAAGTATCACACCTCACCTTCCCCCCCTCCCCGAGATTACCGTCTCTGGCGGCAAGGCGTTCGGAAGTGAGGAGATAACACATCGAAAACGTCCCATAAGAAGGCCGTGAGCGGTCGGAATCAAGCAGTTGTCCGTTGGGCTGTGTGATCACACTCCCAGCTCGCTAGGGCTGCACTGATTCAGCTCCTTCTTCAGGTCCCTCAAGAAGAAATATCCTTCTGCGGTGTCGGCGACTGGTAAGTGACAACTGTCCTTATATCTTTATCAGTATACGGGATTATCTTGTTGACAATACACTCTGAGACTTCATTTACTGGAATTCATTTTGTTTTTTTCACTGCTTTTTCTAAACAAATGAATATTAACGACTTAGATAAAGCTGCCTCTATAGCTGAATTAGGAATTGAACAGTGTGAATATGATAAATTAACCAGTGAATTCCGTCAATATTGTCCTGTGGCATTGAGGGAAAGGCAAGAGTTAGAAGATACAATTGATGAACCTAAACAACGATTCATTGTTCAGTTAAATATCAACGACAATCAAATAAACAAACCACATTTTATCAATTCAACAAAACATAATTTGCAGAAAATGTTACATAATAATGGTTATTACAGTAGTAAAGAAAATGAATATACCAACATGAATAATCAAAACAATGATATCAACAGTGATGTTGCCACTTCCATTGATGATAATAATAATAGTAATGAATTGAATAATTTAATTTATATCCATACATCAATGCGTTTTACCGCTGAATACGAAGGACGTTATTATCGTATGGCTGGATCAAGTGAACTACAAGCATTTCTAGCAAATCCAACAAGATATGTTTCACCGAATAATATAAATGCATTACCAGAAAATGAACTAATACCAATACGATTGAAAGGGGATAAATTAAAGCAAATACATGATTCATTCCCTAAACAATTAGCTTTAAATGGCTATTGTCCGGTTTGCTTTTATGATAGTAAATTGCGTTATGAAGGTTTAAAATTAGGATTACCGGAATACTTGGCTAATTACGATCACAAAATATATGCATTCTGTTCAAATAATTGTCTATTGAATTTCCTCAGGTAAGCGTAACAAGAGAAAGGCGGTTGAAATTATTTTATAACTTTTCATTTCATACTTAAATTATATGATTTCAAGATTTCATAAAAGTCGTACAGTTACTGTTGAAAACTGGCCTAATAATTATCGAATATGTTATGGAATGATGTACAATTACTAATTTCACCAGGTATTGTTTGAATAAAAGGAAGACAAGGAGTTGATGCACCTGCGCCTTTGCAAACGATTTTGAGTCATGAGATACAAAGTGTTTAGCCATCAGTTGCGATAATAATTCGGACACCAACAAGGTAATCTGTACCTATTAACATGTCAGTTGTCAGTCGACTCATGGACTGATGCCATGTTCTGATTTGGCCACTCCTAGATTTCTTCCAGTCTACTTCCTCACCAAAAAGGACCCATCGAGGTAGGCAGTAGTTGGGCTCAGGTAACACATGTCCTAACCACCTCACTTGATGACGATTACCCACATCATCAATCGATTTTTCATATTCGCCTAGTACTCTATATCTAACCTCGACATTAATTACTCTGCAGCAAAAATAAGGTTAGTAATTGAGTCATAGAGCACAGATAGTCACTTCAGTATAGCTATAGTGGCTTATAAAAGACTGCGAAAAATCCTAGTTAGTGATGCTCAGTTCAAACCATAATCCATTGAAACACATATCATATGTGCATAAGTAATCAAATTTTGCTAGGTTGTGAACTGACTGATTAGAGCTATAAGTTCGGTGAAAATTCGACAATTTAAAATATCAGTCAGTTCCAGGAAGAAAACAAGCCCGGAAATTGTTTCTTTTCATGAAAGGAAAAAACACCCAAACAAAACTGTTGTAAATCTTAATGTAAATGAAATGAAGCTTACACAAATATCAAACAGATAATCTTGAAAAAATAACATCAAAATTGGTCTAAAATTAAAATCATTTTTAAAACAGATATCTCTTGATTGTCTGAAGCCAGATATTTTACAGGTGTGGTACACTCATAAAACTTAGCTTCTCGATTTTGTTATGAAGTTTTACTGTTTTATGGACGATTGAAGAGAAAATTAATTAATGGGATATTGTGCATATTTAATGATACTGTTCAATTAAAATTGGTGAAAACATAGTCAACTAGTTAAAGACAAAGTAGGGTCTAAAACGAATTTGTGTTAATCCATTTTACTACACCTCAAATCAACTCAATAAATGTAAAAGTTAGCGAAATGAGAAATGGTTATATTTTAAGATAGCCTGTGGTGATTCCGAATTACAAATAATTGGCGAATTCTTCAGATACGAGACAGGATGTACGCGAACTAGACAGATCGGACGAATAATACGTAGTACGCCAAGCAGTAGAAGAGATAGAAGTTAAAAATTCAGTGAAAAGATTGATATTCGAAGTTAGGATTGTGACAGAACTTTTTATATATTGACAACTATGACCATACGGTAACAAAAATCAGCAAACTAAAAGCGAGAATAATCAACCAGCAAAGTTTAGTGGGGAGATGTGAGCTGAAAAAAAGTTACCATTGACCTCTTTGTACGTCAGAACTACCATTTAATAAGATGAACTAAATACTTCCTAGAATGAACAGAGGGGTGAGAAATAAGTGTCAGTTCAAGTTTAAACTAAATGTAAGAGGCATAGTTCCGATGAACTGACTGAGTAAAATCAACGAATCCCAAATATGGAGTGGTCCTAAGCTCAAAATCCAAAGATAAATAATTAATGTGAATGCACTACTGTGACCGATTTCAAACAAGTCTACCGTGAATTTACAAATAACTTTTTTTGTTTTGATCAAATTTAATAGTAATTAACAAAAATCTGAGTAATGTTGTCCAAATAGTTAAGCTTTTTTGGTTTAAGCGTTTTGATCTTGAAAATTATTTGCCTTTAAAACATATATGAGGTGTGGTGGTCGGTGTTCGATATATTCCTTAAACTCCGTATACAGTTCGTCTCGGTGACCGTCACCAAATAATGCTCCAACGGTATATTAATCAGAAGGCGAATACGAAGCGTTAATTACGTTTATTTAAGGGACCACACACAGATATCCAAAATTACAGATGCGTTAAGCAAGCATGAAATAGTTGTGCCGAAAGGCAAACAGGCAAGCGAGCGAGTGAGAGAGAGCAAGGGCAAGAGCGAGCGATCGAGCGAGTAATGAATATGAATAACATGGACATATATATACATAGTGAAATTAATGAATCATCGAGTCAATTAAGCGGTTAATAGTAAAGCTAGTAGCGTGAATAAATGAGTAGGCAGTAAGGTTTGCCGAGCATACATATTCATACAAGGATAACAATAATAAAGGTACATACATTCGCAACAGTAATAGGGATACAATAAGTTATTATAGTGCAGGTGACTTTGTCCGTTTAATAAGTTAATAAAAGGGCTTAACCGAATTAGGTGAGAGCAAACTCAATTGAATGTGAGTTGCTATAATAGTTCCTCCCAGCAAACAAAGATACAAAAGTGTCTGTGTTTGCGAAAAAAAATGTCAAATTTAACAAGATGGGAAATATCGAAATTTACGAAATTAAGATATATGATAGAACTATCGTATGTGTTATTAAAAATATGTGTAAGTTTGAGTTTGTATATGTCCGTGAGGCCAAATAAGATCATAACGGAAGATCGAAAGAATACATAAATTATGTTAAATATAATAATAGATAAACTAAAATTTTCGATTTGTACATAGAAAATGAAGATTAAATTTACATTCGAAGAGGTGAAAGAAATTATTAATTCAAAATCGTAGCTATGTATCGTTGCGGCCATCTCACTCTTCGGCCATATCTCGTCGTTACTGGATTTTCTTCGTTTGTGTTGGTCGATGTCGTTGATGATTGGGACTCATGCTTCGGTGGTTCGACAGTTTTCGCAGTACCTGTATATATTGGCTGATCGTCGGTTTCGATGAAAGCTGGTTTGACTCTGTCGATGCTAATTACATCCGTTTTTCCAGCTTTTTCTATCGTAATAGTTTTATCATTCCTTTTAATCACCTTGAATGGACCATCGTAGGCCGATTGTAAGGGACGCTGCACATTATCCCTTCTGATAAACACATGGGTACTATCGGTCAGTCGTTTTGGCATGTAGACACGATGTTGCTGTTGCCTCGGAAGCGTTATCCTCAGATCACCCATATGTTGCTTTAGACGTTGTACATAGTTGGCTATGTCATTTGGAACACTTTTACCTGAGGTGAAAATTTCTCCTGGTAGACGTAAAGTAGTTCCATAAACCAATTCTGCTGGGCAGCATCCTATATCTTGCTTAATTGTTGATCTTAAACTCAACATGACCAATGGAAGTTTGCTGGCCCAATCATTATTGTTAATGACAGCTGTGAGTGAGGCTTTAAGTTGCCGATGTAATCTCTCTACCATACCATTTGACATCGGATGGTAGGATGTTGTGCGAATTCGCTTGATTCCGAGGAGCTCTGTGAGTTGTTGGAAGAGGCGGCTCTCGAATTGAACTCCTCTATCGGTTGTAATCTTAGTAGGCACGCCGTAATGTGAAATCCAATGATCTACTAGGGTTTTCGCTATAGTTTCTGCTGCAATGTCTTTTATAGGCACTGCTACAGGCCATCGAGTGAATCGATCAATACAAGTGAAAATGTAATTAAAGCCATTTGAGATTGGCAGCGGTCCCACGATATCGACATGTATGTGTTCGAATCTACTGTCGGGGTGGCGAAATTGACCTACTGCGGAACTGGTGTGGCGATTTATCTTAACTTTCTGGCATTTTATACACGCTTGCGTCCAGTTACGAATATCCCGGTTCATACTTGGCCATACGAAACGCTCGCTGATTAGTTTAATGGTGGCCTTTATTCCGGGATGCGAAATATTATGCATGTTTCGTCTTAATGGCTTTGGAATAAATGGTCGTGGTTGACCCGTAGAGATATCACACATGATACTTACTTTTCTTATTGGAGTTTCTTCGAGTACTAACGAGGTTGTATTTGCAGACTTTAGTCTGTTTAACTCGACGTCGATGTTTTGTAATGCTGCTAATTTGTGATAATCGATTTCTGATTGGATGAGAGCGTTTACCATCGTTCTGGATAACGCGTCTGCCACCTCGTTATTATCGCCTTTGATATACTGTATGTCAGACGTAAATTGGGAAATAAATTCTAATTGTCGAATTTCCCTCGGCGAGTAGTTATCCTGTTTGGCGTTTAATGCTCGGTATATACTGTGAAAATGGTACCCTCAATCATATGTCGGAAATGTTTTATTGCTAAATAAATCGCTAATAGTTCTCTTCCAAACGTACTATATCTCGTTTGGGTAGGGTTTAATCTCTTAGAGAAAAATGAAAGTGGTTCCCATGTACCGTTCACTAACTGCTGCAATACGGCTCCTACTGCTATGTTCGATGCATCCGTCATGACGGCTAATTGTGCTTCGTTCTTTCGTCGTACTAACATCATCTTCTCGTCTAGTGCTCGCTTAGCGTCCTCAAAAGCTTGTATAGCATCTGCTGAAAGACGAAATGTCCGAGTACGTCCTCGCAAAGCGTCCGTCAATGGTTGTAATATTGTTGCGCAGTTTGGAATAAATCGTCTATAATAGTTTATTAGCCCCAAGAATCGTCGTAATTTTTTTTGTGACTCAGGTAACGGATAATTACGAATAGCAGCAACTTCTGTTGGAACTGGCATGATACCATGTGAATTTATCATATGACCTAGGAATTGCAATGATTCCTTTCCGAATTCACACTTATCCACATTAATAGTGACGCCGTGTTCTTGAAGTTTCATAAACAACTGTCGTAGATGTTGTAGATGTTCCTCCACGGTAGCGCTAGCTACTAGTATATCATCGATATATGCATACACTCCTGTCAAACCCCTGACAACCTGATCGATGAATCTCTGGAAAGTTTGGGCTGCGTTAGTTAATCCGAAGGGCATTCGCAAAAACTCAAATAACCCAAATGGAGTAGTTACAGCCGTTTTAGGTATATCTTCTGCCGCCACGGGAATATGGTAATAAGCCCGAACAAGATCAATTTTTGAAAATATCGTGGCACCTCCCATATTGGTAGTAATGTCGTGGATATGCGGTACCGGATATCTGTCTGCTATAGTTTGTTTATTAAGGGCTCTATAGTCTCCGCATGGCCTGATTTCTCCGTTTTTCTTGGGAACCATATGCAACGGGGATGCCCAGGGACTATTAGACGGTCTTACGATACCAAGCTTCATCAATTTTTCGAACTCTCGTTTCGCAATCTTCAACCTATTTGGGTCTAGCCTCCGTGGTCTTGCGTTGGTCGGTGGACCTTTCGTTATAATATGGTGTTGTACAGTGTGTTTAAGATCTCTGTTATCGTATGATGCTCTCGTCAAATCAGTGAACTCATTTAGAAGCGCTCTATATGGCTCGCTTTTGTCTTTTGAGACTACTAAATTCATGGATACGTAATCGGTTGTCACTCCTTTTATCACTACTGAATGGTCTCCGTTCACGAGCCGGTTTCGTCGGGAATCCACTAGTAAGTCGAAATTCTTTAAGAAATCAATACCAATTATAGGTACGGATACATCTGCGATGACGAATTCCCAGCGGAATGAAGTGCTACGACCAAAATTCAAGGTTACTTTACGCTTGCCATATGTTTTTATATCGGATTTATTTGGGAGCCTTAAGCGTTAGCGCTGTATTAATATTTCGCGTTTCGTTACTCACTGGAGGCACAACGCTTACTTCTGCTCCAGTGTCCACTAAGAACTGAGCACCTGTTACTCTGTCCTGAACGTAAAATAAACGACTGTTTCTAGGAGCTGTTCTAGTTGTCGCGGCGTTTACCGACAATCGGTGTGATCGTTTGAATTTACATGGTGGTCGACAGTTTCAAGCTTTGTCGCCAAAAGTTTGATGGTACCAACATATTGTAGGAGCTGAGCGTCTCCTAGAACATGATCGACTTCTATCTCTCGACCTACTTCGCGACCATTTTCTTTGTATGTCGCTCTGATTTAGTTTCATCAGCTTGTGGCATAAAACGTTAATCTCCTTTTGTAATGCGTCGATTCGTTCATCTACTGTGGTATTATGTCTTTGCGGACTCGTTTGTTTCATTCTCTCGTAAATCCTATCGGCTATATTAGCAATGTTGTCTATGTCGACATCGCTGTCCTCAACCGCGAGGATCTGCTGAACGTTCGGTGGGAGTCGTCGTAGCCATAACTGATAAAATATGTTTTTATCTATTTTTCTGTCTCCAATTATGCTTTTCATATAATTTTTTAGCTGCGACGAAGTCCTATCTCCAATCTGCACTTGACTGAGAAGCTGCTCGACGGCTTGTCGGTCACTTAATGAGACGGCTTTAATCACAGCCTGTTTAAGTGCGTCGTATGGCTTTTCGATGTCTGGCTTAGTTAAAAACTCTCGTAAATTGTCGGCTACTTCATCCGGAAGTAGTGAGCTCGCATGGCCGAATTTATCTCGCTGTAAATGAACACGATTAGCAACAAAGTAATGTTCGAGTCTAATAAACCAGAGTTCAGGATCTGTGATCTTAAAAGGAGGAATAGTAACATTCATGGACCTCACGGACGAAATTTGTGGAAGGTCTATTGTGTCGTTATTTAAAGACATGATTATAAAGATCAAAAATTATACGTATATACTGTAAATCGATAAAAACAATGATAATACAAAATGGTACAATTAATTACAAGGAACGGACTTACTAAATTGCACCAAAATATCAATTGTTTGGAAAATATCGTTGTTTATTATGAATATTATCGTTATGTTCAATAATGTTTGTGTGATAATGTACGTATAATTAAAATGGTGACATAATAAATCCACAGTAATGATTATAATCCAAATGCTAGCTCGAATTGAAATAAAGTGCGTTGGATTCTCGGAGTTGGATTACGTCGTCGAAGATTGATTCTTGCTCGCACGTTGGGATCACCAATTCTGTGGTGGTCGGTGTTCGATATATTCCTTAAACTCCGTATACAGTTCGTCTCGGTGACCGTCACCAAATAATGCTCCAACGGTATATTAATCAGAAGGCGAATACGAAGCGTTAATTACGTTTATTTAAGGGACCACACACAGATATCCAAAATTACAGATGCGTTAAGCAAGCATGAAATAGTTGTGCCGAAAGGCAAACAGGCAAGCGAGCGAGTGAGAGAGAGCAATTTATTTATTTATTTATTTATTTTAACACATAAGTATAGGTACAGGGAGGCACCAAATACATATGCGCCACACAAATCTCAATTGATTCGTGTGAGGGCTGTGATACTTCCCAGGTGCCCAAACCGAAGCAGGTGGTTTTCTTAGGAGGCCACACCCCGAGCCTTCGACCTGGACGTCTGACCCACAAGGCAGTGGAGCATCGTGAGGAGATGCAGTCCCATGGTAGCCGGTGACCAACGATTGGTTCATACGCCATTTGTTCCCGCAGGATACTGGAGCCCATGTGAAACCATTGGTTTTGGGTCCGGTTAAAGCGCCAGACATTCGCTTTTCGTCCTCTCATTTTCGTAAACAACACCCCCGCCACGAGAAGGCAGTGAGTAGGACTTCCCTGGCAGAGGCTATATACGCATGGCCATGTGAGAGCATTTCGAGAGGGAGAGCGGAGTCTCCCTACTCTCGGCCGTACCAAGGCATTTGGGGGCGAGAGAGAGCAAGGGCAAGAGCGAGCGATCGAGCGAGTGAATGAACGAGCGAGCGAGTAATGAATATGAATAACATGGACATATATATACATAGTGAAATTAATGAATCATCGAGTCAATTAAGCGGTTAATAGTAAAGCTAGTAGCGTGAATAAATGAGTAGGCAGTAAGGTTTGCCGAGCATACATATTCATACAAGGATAACAATAATAAAGGTACATACATTCGCAACAGTAATAGGGATACAATAAGTTATTATAGTGCAGGTGACTTTGTCCGTTTAATAAGTTAATAAAAGGGCTTAACCGAATTAGGTGAGAGCAAACTCAATTGAATGTGAGTTGCTATAGCGGCTAAGTTACACGAGTGGCCCACCATTTGTAAGTTCGCACTATAGAAAACATTCTGCTTCTGCTTAGGATTAACTTTCATTTATATAAACACTATTCGATATAACCGTTTTTCATACTGTATTTGTTTGTTTACTTTGGGAAACAAGCAAAATCGATCAAACGGTAAGTGTTCATGTTGAATGAGGAATCTGTTATAGGTTTAAGTGTATGATCTTAATTATCAGTCAGTATTCGATATCCCTTGGGTAGTCAATAGTTATGCTCATCTACTGACATCAACTATCTCAAAGACTAACAATTTTTTCATGCTGCAAAATATCGTTGGAAATATTCATTTTTTTAAATAATTTTTATTTATACAGAAAACCTGTTCTTTTTGCTAATCTACAACTTCCCCACAAATTGCCACCAGTTGCAAACCCTATAACAGTGAAATCATTACCATTGCCTGGTTTTCTTGAGCAAACATTAGCTGTAGCCCTTCGTAGGGCATTATCTTCTATGAGTCAAGAAAGGCCAAAGTTTCCATTCATTACAATTAAACGATCAGCATTGATCTATATGGGATTACATTTAAAAGGTAAACAATGAAATATTAAAATATTAATGAATATTGAATTGTAAGACATGCTAAAAAATGATCGATTGAAAGAGTTAATTTTGTTAGTAGTAATATTCATTAAAGCTATTAGTCATCAGATTTGATGAAGATATGTTCTAAGCAAAGGTACATCTTTAAACGAAGAATGCATAACATCACGAAGTTTAAAACTTAGTCACAACTTCATTAACAAAAACGGTATTTCCACAATAAAATAAATTCATTATATTTAAAAGTTTTTCATCAAGTGCAAATAGCCTTGAATTACAAGAAGTGATATAATTAGGGGCCAATGTCTGACACACTTTAGTTAGTGGATATAAAAAGAAATTCCTTTTTTGAAATAGAGCCGAAAATAATAATAACCATAAATGATGAAAATAATTAAAAAACAAAATCGAATTGCTTCGTGAGTATTAATGAGATTGCATACGAGAAAAATTATGTGGTTACAATTATATTCTTAACAGTGAGTTTCTTCAATCTGTTGAGAAACATATGTTTGTCAAACATAAAGTGAAACAAGGTTTATAATGAAATACCGTGTCGTGAATTTAAAACTCATTCAGAATAACAATATCAACAAGAGAGTGATACACAAACGCAATTCGAAAACCTGTACTACCAAATCACTGACTTAAAAGCCATAGATAAGGATAGAAAAGGTTTAGTTAAATCATTTCACATTGATACAAAGAATTGGGTGGTAAGATAGCCAGTAAAATAACTTGTTTATGTACCTTATCAAATATTGATCAGGTATTCGAAAATTTAACTAATCAGAATGACTGAGTATTAATTGACAGCTTCCCGTTTAAAAGTAATAGAAAATGAAAAGTTGTACAAGAACCAGTTTTCTGAAACATTATATTCACATATGATAGACTAATACTAAAATATATTAACGAACGAAAATATAATATGAAAAGTATATTAAACAAGGAAAGAATGACTCATTACCATTATGCAGCTTCCAAACCTTTCTACAATGAAACTAGGCTATTTTAATCAATCTGAAGTGAGACATTTTAGCCCCTTGACACAATTCTAATGCTCACCTTGAGGTAAAAATGAGAGTAATCTACTAGATGAATAACGTTGTTGTGTTGATTTGATTCCGATGTTACATAATGCATGAGAGTAGAACGGAGAACGAATAGTAATGTAACAACTTATTCAATCATTTAATTACTAAGACTAGGTATACAACCTTATGGATAAAACTTTTAACAGTTCAAGAAATACTGAAATAGTCAACACCTTAGTAGCTGTAGGTATTTATCTCTTTAGAAGTGTACTGAATTTTATCTAATTCTGTGTATTTTTTGTCTTGAAAACAGCTTATAATCCACGATTTCTGATAAACGAACAAAAGAAAAACCAACAAAAGTTGGCCAATTATATGAATGCTTGTCACCTAATACCATGGTTGGCTAAATCTATGCCAATTCAATTTCTTCCAGTCTCCAAACGTTCAATGGAATTCAATACAAAACTAGATCAGTTTCTTGGCCTTGAAAAGCATAAAGATCTCCCTGAAACGTGGATTCATTAGACTACCAATAAATACACATAAATCGTATATCTAATGAATAGTTAACTAAAATGTGGAAGTCTATGTAAACGGAATTACAAGCTGGAAACTAATGATCTATAAATTCACATATATTCCCAAATGTTGATGAGTGAAATTGTTTCCAACCAGTGAAGACTTAAGCGTGTAATTGTTATGGCAACTACTTTCCGTTGTGCATTATTTCCGATACTCATTATAACAAACTATCGTACTTTAAATAGCCTAGCAGTCATTTGACGGTTAAAACACTGTACAAGTATGATCATTTCAGACTCAATTTCTATTTGGTTATGACCTGATCGTACCTGCTACCTCGACGTGGGTGTCAAGCTTGCCTATTGCGATGATTTAACTGACCTATATTGGCTGGGACACATGTTCCTTCAAGTCCTACCACGTCACCCAGATAGGTTGGAAAACTGTAACACTGGAAGCAATAATTTAAGGCACGAAGGGAAAGTCGTACTACTGATTGTAGAGAGGTATAAAACAGCAGTAAGATGTTTCCCTCAGACAACCAGCATCTGCAGTGATGCTTCCTCCTCGCAACAGAAAGAAGTGGTTAGAAAAGGTCGATTCTCAAAGTATCACACCTCACCTTCCCCCCCTCCCCGAGATTACCGTCTCTGGCGGCAAGGCGTTCGGAAGTGAGGAGATAACACATCGAAAACGTCCCATAAGAAGGCCGTGAGCGGTCGGAATCAAGCAGTTGTCCGTTGGGCTGTGTGATCACACTCCCAGCTCGCTAGGGCTGCACTGATTCAGCTCCTTCTTCAGGTCCCTCAAGAAGAAATATCCTTCTGCGGTGTCGGCGACTGGTAAGTGACAACTGTCCTTATATCTTTATCAGCATACGGGATTATCTTGTTGACGATCAAACCCCTTACTCACCTTTTAACTTTTCTTCCATCCCCATGACTAACCGTTCTTGTATATCTCTATCACCACGAGCCAACAATGTTGAGTTCACGAAATGTTATTACTGGTCGCCTGAAACCACGCTCTAATCTACATGTCGGAACTTTGACTGTCCAAACTTTTTGTAGGATAGGATATCAAGCTTCTTTAGCTTGGACTCTAGAATCTTGCGCCTTCGATATATATATATATATATATATACTGTCTTTCAAGCGCACATACAAGATCCAAGTATGATCATTCATTTGACCTCACCTTGTTAATATGAAGATCCGGCACGATTCACCCTCAGAGTATTTTTCCTCGGCCTCTTTGTTGTAGGTATAGCATAATGTTCTGAAGCACAACAAGCTCTCCTAGACTAGATTTCAAAAGACACTCGCTTGTTCGCTTTTCAATTAAACGGGACAGTAATAACTCGAAAATATCGGAACACAAGTCGTTCCCTTTACGTTGTCTGTTTACGCCCCCACTGATTACAGCTCCGACGAAGTTAAAGATGAATTTTATCGGAAGCTATCCCACTTCCTTCAAAAGGATACTCTCTGATGTAGTAACAGTGGCAGGTGATTTTAATGCTCAAGTAGGTAAACTAAACCCAATTGAGAGGCACTCAAGTGGATCAGAGAACATATGATGGCGACCGTATGTTGCAGCTATGCTCAGATAACTATCTATTTCAGCAGACCTGAGACAGTGTTTTGCGCACTAGAATCGTTGGCTATGGTGAAACTTGAGTAGGAAACCAAAGTTTAGGTTTGAAAGTCGGTGTAGGAGGAATAATAGGAATTGAAGAGGGAGGTTGATTACGAATACAGTGGTCTTGACTGCTGTTAGAGGTATGAGGGTGGTTATCACTTCCCGGTTGCCCATACCGTGGAAGGGTTCTTCTGGAGGTACCTGAAAAGGAAATTGGATTAGAGGTGGTCTTAGTGACCTGAGAGCGTGACCGCAGTACCCAAGGGACAACTGCATGAGGTCGGTCACACACGACCTTTTGATGAGTAGTTTTGTGTTAGCTCCGTACTTGTTGAGACCTCACCGCCGGAGAAGGAGTGTGCATTTTCAGGGTCGACCTTTACTAACCCCTCCCCTCCTTGTGGGAAGGCAGCATCGCTGTTATGCTGGTTATCTGAAGGAAACACCTTACTGCTGTCACACCTCTGTACAGTCAGCAGTACGACTTCACCTTCGGACCTTGGGTTTGTTGCTTTTAGTCCCACCGTTCTTCAACGGACCTGTCTGGCATGGTAGGACCTTAAGGAACGATTGTTCTAGCCAGTATAACTCGATTGGTTCGTCACGATGGGTAAACCCGACCACCACGTCATGGTAACTACAACGGTCGGAAACTCATCCAGTCGGTTCGAATACGGTGAGGGGTGGAGGCAGCTTAAACGTAGCCTAACAAAAAGCCTATATAATGATCGTTATCAGTGATGGGATAGATGAGATAGAAAAAGCAGTAGCGATAGGTGACAACTGTTCAGACTTATCGAGGAGACGGATATTAAGTATTCGGTCGTCAATGAAACTCGCGGAAAAAGATCAAACTTTTATTCACTCTTACTCCAGATTGAATCGACTGACTGAACACTAGTGAACAAATCAACTAGCCTCCAGTTACCCACTATCTTCAAGCAACCTGAATGGTGTACTGATATAAGTCCTTCAAATCTTAGTGAAGTTGAAAAGTTTGTAAGTTAACCTAAGCGAGGGAGGGAAGCAGTGTCTGATGGACAAACCCATGGGATTTTTAAGAATAGTGGTTCAGTACTAGCAATTAGATTAACTGAAATCTTAGCTAAAATCCGAGAACTGCACGTGAACCATCTGACTGGTATCAATCGCTGATCATCTTAGTTAACAACAAATGATAAAATCCTCTTGTGACAACCACAAAGGGATCAGTTTAACTAATATAGTGTCTGAAATATTAGCCTCAATAATACTTCCATATCTAACTAGAGCTTATGAAGTGCGAACCTGAGGAAACCAGGCCGACTTCAAACTTGGACCAAATACTTACCCTTTGCAAACTCTGTAGCAGACACTCTTCGACATCCGACTATAGTTGTATTTCTTGATCTTAGGGGAGTCTATTACTCCGTTGATCAAGAGGTTCTGTGGCAGTGTCTGATATTGAAAGACGTACCGACGAAGCACACCAACAATGTACAAGCCCTCTATCCGAATACTACTGGTTGAGTCACAATTTATGGCGAACTGTTGCTGGGATTGATTACTTCAAGTGGTGTGCCTCAGGGTTGTCCGCTTTCCCCATTTCATAGACATGATTTTGGAGATAACACTTTTATCGTCTGACTTTTCAGGGAGTGATTTTCTACCAGGACACTTACTGACTTAGATGATATAGTTCTGTTTGCTGAAGACGCTGATAAAATGCAGTCTTCACATCACTTAAGCAATTTGGGGACGCGGTTCTCTTCCTCCAAATGTAAGGTGTTACTTTAAGATTGGATTGTGTCATCGCATGAATTAATGATAAGAAGTGAAGTAATTGAACACACCGACTGCTTTACTTATCATGAAGGTCTCATCAGTAGTGATGGTCTAGTGTCTGGCGAAATCTCGACACGGATTCGGTAGGTTTGACTGGCTTGCATCACTTGTGGTGTAAGCGATATATCTTTCAACCAAAGGACGAGTTTACTGAGCAGCAGTTTGCTCCGTCCTACTTTACGGATGTGAAGCATGGTCATTAATAGAGATTAGTAGGCTACTGGTATTCGATGATAGGTTTACGAAGCACCGCTCGTTTATTTTGACAAGATGGAGTGAGCAATGTCTGGATAAGGAATAGAGTACTAAGCAAATACGATAAATCGATTGATGAGGTGGGTAATCGTCATCAAGTGAGGTGGTTAGGACATGTGTTACCTGAGCCCAACTACTGCCTACCTCGATGGGTCCTTTTTGGTGAGGAAGTAGACTGGAAGAAATCTAGGAGTGGCCAAATCAGAACATGGCATCAGTCCATGAGTCGACTGACAGCTGACATGTTAATAGGTACAGATTACCTTGTTGGTGTCCGAATTATTATCGCAACTGATGGCTAAACACTTTGTATCTCATGACTCAAAATCGTTTGCAAAGGCGCAGGTGTGTCCTTTCTTTCTTTTAAATGCTGGGACTAAATTTCTTATAACATTTTCTCGTGTTTTTATTCCGCTAATTAATAGTTCATCAGTCTTATCTTTTATGACTAGTCTTTCCTATTACCGTTGATACTGTTAGTACCTCTACTATTCTGGGACTTGACCTAACAACTACATCTCTTTGTACTAACTGGGCTTGAACCGATGTACATATGTACAGGTTCTACAATGTGATTGTCTGAACGTTTACGTTACATTAATAGATGTAATATGATACAAGTTCCTGAAAACCTAGTAATTAAATCCGTCGTTGATCAGTAATTTGTATTTGAAATTCCTCATAACTATTTACTAACAAATCAGTGCACGAAAACTAAGTACAACTTCAAAGTGGTCACATCGGAAATTTTTATGTACATAGATTTTTACCTATAACTAGCTAGAATGATAATTTCTGTTTAACCTGCTACTAATTAGTCGCTAATGATAAATACAATAGCTAGGGATTGAGAAATACTAGGGGTGTTCGTAAGACTAGGTTATGAAGTTAATGACTGACTTGATAACTGAATGCATGCGTAAATATCAAAGAAGTATCCTTTTTTATTTACCACTGTGTATCAAATTTTAATGAATTTACAGTCGTAGTGATATTGAAAAATTTTATTTTAAATTTAGAGTATTTTGGTTTCAGAGTTTAGTACACTAATGACAGCAAAAAGGCTTATTATCCCTGGACACACGAAATATACCTTTTGCACTAATGAAAAATTTATTCACAGGACTGTAAGAGAAACAAAGACATATGAGATATAACCGAAATCTAAAAACTAAGTGGGTAACTTATTATTTATGTCTTTATGACAGTTGGAGCACCTCAGTTTGAAGTTACTTTTTGGGAATCATTTTGAAGCTATTTGTTGGTAAGACATGATAAGGAATCAATGTTAAAGTCAATAATTTACGGCAGTCGGTGGTCAGTATATATCAATGAGAAACCCACTACATAGATATCAGCAAATACGATAAGAACATCTTGATTCGCTTAGATAAAACCTCAGTTACTGTTTACGATTTCAATGCTCGAAACCTGGCTGCTACCTTTCACCTCTGTGGAGAGTTCGGACTGGCAAATAAAATAAATGAAATCTTGACACACCAGATATACGTAGTATGAGTGGAACTTAAATAGGAACCCCCTAATGTTGGACACACTCCATTCAAAACATGACCAGCCCAAAAATGCACAACTAACAAATGCAACAACCTGACTGGATCACAAGGTATGAATGTTACAAACTTATAGAACAACACATCGTTACGATCGAAAAATACAGGACTCGTAGACACGTAAATAAGCAATAGCTACTAAAAAACTTAGCATTAAAAGTTATATTTTACTGAATTAAAGGAAGTATTTAAGACATACATAAACAACCCCTAGTAACGGTACTTTTAAAACAAAGCTGTAAACATTAAGAGTATGAGAGACCCATGTAATGGGGTCATAAAACACATATCAAACATGTGCCAGGAAATAGTACATTGGAAGTGAAGGAGGAAAATTCAGAACTGGAACTCATTCTTCAAAAACATATCATTTTTTTAACTCCAGGCAACGACGAATGAGTAACACCTAACACACACAAATTTACTGTGTACCAGGTACGTTTTTTGACAAGAATGTTCGGAGATCTCCCATTTCCTGAAATGCAATTCGGTAAAAATAATCATTACTACCAGTTTACCTTTTCACATGACGAGTGAGATAATTGAGGATAACAGTTGAGTTCACATTTAGATAACTGGAAAGTTTTCAAAAGCTCATGAGTTAACTTTCCCATGGCAAAAGGAATTGTATAATCTTCCAATCCATGACACTGAAAAACTGGGACATCCTTGGGCATAGTCAAAAGCTAAGCAATAATAATTAGTAAAAAAACATACTGTAGGTGAGGACATAAATTTTGTATGGAGTGGAAGCCAACAACTGAGAGCAACAACCCCACCATACCGTAAAGTGTTCGTTAGTGCATTATAGAGGGCTACTGAGCCACCTTGTGAAAAACCTCCGATAACTATATTCTCGATGGGGATTCCGGCTTTTATTTCTGCATCAACGAATTTTCCTACTTTATTTAAAATATAATAAGAGCAAAAATAAATGAAATATACATTCGAGCGATGCCTCTTTTATTCCTGCTTCATCTTGTTTAGCGTTTTCACTTAGAGCATATATGTCATACCTTGTCATCAAATAATCAAAAAACAAACCACAACAAACCATGCTGGCATGCACATCCCTCCATTGAGTGTAACTGGTATTGAATTCCTGTACGAAATATACAAATCAAACATTATGAATTTACGCATGAGGGCATATAATCTTGAAGTAGTCCGGAACATATTCCTTTAGAGAATCTGACCAACCATGCCTTATCGAATCAACCCTTTCAAATTAGGAAAACTTACCCTGTATCACCCAATCCATGTAAGAAAATCAACTGAAAAATAAATAAGTCAATACGTGTGATAAATGGAATTCGATGCAAAGTACAGTAGGGAAGAGATCATATGTGATGAGAAACTTCGCATTTCAGTTATGTTTTTGCTACCGTTCCTTCACTGTACCCGTAAAACCTAATTATTTACTGCTTATACAGCACAATAACTTTTTCAGTTCCCATCATTAAACAATTCTTATTTTTGATAAAACCTTGGAACTCATTGTAGTCAGCTACTAAAGGGCGTACGGCCTTGTAATTTGTACCTGAAGCAAAATCATTCAAGTTATGTTAGATTATGAGCTCCTGTCATTCAAAAACTATTCTGTACATCGTGAGTGGCTTCTGAACACATCTTGTCCTATTGCATTACTTTATCTTCCACCTTATAGGTGAAAATTGTATGAAAATGGTATGAAGTGACGTAATAGTTAGGAGTGAAGTGTTTAGGTCCACTGATTTCTCAATTTGCGGAACTGCACTGCTATACGCGAGTTTCAGGTTAATGCGATTCAAGAGTGAATGCAACAACCCACCAAACAAATTAAACTAGAGGGTGTCCGGAATTCGATCAAAGAGCGCACTGCAAGGCCACTTACTGTAAAATTTTGTAACCAAAATGTGGATTGAGGAGGAAAGGCAAAAGTTACAGAAACCACTATACTCGAATCATTGGTTGAGACAAAACTCGAATAAGGAAGTTCGACCCAGGTCTTTTAGACGACTTTCTAACCTTATAAATAGAATCGTTAAAACATGGATGAACTGTGGATGTTTCGCGTCAACTGCAAAGGGAAACTTATTACATGATTTTGTTATATATAGTGCCTCACCACGTGGTGAGGCGATAACATGTGGCAACATAACTTACTGTAGCAGAATGTTTCGAGCGAGAAGCTATGACAGCAGCAGGTAATAGTTTATTAGCCATATCTATCTCTGTGATACAACTAATACTACTTCCCATAAAACATTAGCACGAAACAGGTCAAACCAAAATACTTGGATCAACCGCTTCCACTATTCACATAATAAAACACTGGTTTCGACCTTCAGCTAGCTATTTTTGTAGCTTTTAATGATTGCTTTGTCTAAGTTTGAAATATCAAGGATCATTGTGAACAACAAGAGCTGTTCACTGCTTCCAGTTTGAAGATAAATCTAACTTATAAATTTTACAAATACTGGCTTACGCGGTTGGAGAGAAAATTAATCAATGTATGCCGTATACAGTTCGTTTTGTACTAGTTTATTGGATAAGTGTAGTTCACATAAATTAAAAGGTAGATTGAGCAACGAAATATTTCTTTTCCATCAAGAGTGTAGGTGAATAGAGATGTTTTACAAATGAGTAGAAAGTCTATACTAATTAGACGGTGGCGAGTCAATTTTCAAATATAATAATCAGCTAGATACATAACGCTTCAAAAATTGAAAGAGAATAATCCTCATGTCCAGCTAATTAATACAAGCATTTACATTAAAATAATAGTAGGAATTCAAAATGGATATAAATGTGTCTGTGAAATTGATGAGTAATTATAGGGCGGAAAAGTGAAAATTAGACTACAAAATCACTGAACAGGCTAAGTATGATGAGAATTAAAAAATCAAAGTGCTAATAAGATCAAGGGCTGGAAATTTCCTTTTCAGCGATTTCATTTCAAACATCTAAATTTATTTATAAGCGTAATGATGCCACAGGTATTCAGTCCAAATTAGGGGATCAAAGATTTCTGTAAGGTAGCTTGACTTTGATAGTATCTAGAATCACTAGGTGGGTTTTCAAGTAGGCCAACGGTATGGCTTCTATGTTTCCAGTGAGCAATTTTAGTCTCGTTATGGGTAGTTGGGGAGGTTGTGTCTTTCAGGTTGGAAATGAGGAATCGCCTGAGATTGCTGTCAAGAGAGGTATTCATGTTGCCTATGATTTTGTACTGGTTCCTAGAGCTTGCAAGGTTCACACTCTAAAACTTACTGGTGTCATGTGTATTTATGGTTTTAGTCGTATGTAGTGTGACGTTAGGATGAATGGGAACTGCCAGTCCATTATGTTTGCTGCACGACATTCTATCGCTGTGGACAGGCGCATATTGTGAGTTAAGAGCGCTGGAATACTTGTGAGTTTCTACAGAGGGTTTAGTATTATTTTGTATTGCGGTGACTGGATGACTATAATCCTCAGAGCAGTTTCTGGGAGGATTATTTTTCGGCTTCTGGGGTTTTATCGGTGCCGTCAAGGCAATGCCGGGGCATTATAGAGGGATAAATGGATTGGGATTTGGAAGTAATAATGATAGTAAAAATATTTTATTCTCAAATGGCATTTTGCTACATGAGGCATGCCAGTTTACAGGCAAGATCAAATTGTTACAAATGATACAAATTCCAACTGTAGTAAATTACTCAGCTGGGTCTAAAATTTATAAGATATGAATGTAGAATGGTTTTAGTCAGTATCACAGTTAGCGCGCTTCATGAAAGTTGCGTTGCGACGTGCAACTGACGGTCGATAATAGATTCATGTGCAGTTGAGGGCTTCTAGAAATCGCAATCTTATATCCCTTTGGAATATTCGAGTTTTTAAGGATGATGCAGGACGGGGTCACCCGTTCCGTATCTCAAGGGGGCTGAAAAATGGTGCAAGAAAACAAAAAAATGGACGATAAGCAAAGAAAACAATGTTCATGAAGAAATGGTTAAGGTATGACTACTCAGTCTGATTCTCTTTCATTAAAGTATTTAGTAAGCAGGAGCATCCTAATAGGTTAAAGGAAATAACTGCAGACAAGGTATGAGTGGATAATCAACTGACAAATGGAGGTGGTTCAGAAAGAAACTGAGAGTATGAGAATATGTAGTTATAAAATATAGTGCTAAAAGCAGTGTTATGATACACAAATGACTGTTAACCTTTTTTTTTGTCGAGGCTATTGGAGCCTTTTTTAGATTTTATAGGGTCTTGAGTAGGCTTCGTTTTTTTTTATTTTTATTTTATCGGATTGTCTAGTTTGCTTGTAATAGGATTACTGGGTAGGAAGTTAAATGTTTGGGCTTAGAATGAATGGATACAGCTGCTTTATGTGCAGTCTTGTTCTTGCGACGTGCCTTCGTTTTTGAAAGAGATAGGGAATGGTGTTTTAGGGTTTTGGCAGTGACCAACGTTGTATCTGTTTCTAGTACATGGGTTGGGTCCATTGATTTGTAGTTCATTGAAGATTCGATTTTGAATAATTGTACTGTCATGGATGATTCTAATCTTTTTAAATGTTGGAATACGCCTCAGTAACGACTAATTATTAAGGTGAATAGCCTTTTTGATACTTCCAAACTGAAGGAGAATGGGACAGGAAGCTTTAGTCTGTAATTTATATAATCTACTTGTGACACACCAAGATTGCGACAATTCACACTCTTGTAGTGGAGTATTTTTAACGAACTTTAAGTTCATACTATCAGGTATAATGACATTCTGCATACACTGTGGTCTTTTCAATACTTTAGATGATGTATGGTCGATTACTTTTTCAGTATTTTTTATAATTTCGAGATCAGGATTTTCCGGAACATTTATTGGATATTTGTACGGTAATAGGTCTTGAATAGTTTGCTTCGTATTCTTGGACACCAATTCACTTGACTAGTCCCCAAATCTGAACACGGTTGAGCAGGCAATAAATTATATTCCAATTAACAAGGGTAGATGGAAGTAAGAAGCACAATGAGAAAAACGTTTGTATATTCACAGTTTTTGCATGAAAAGATTCTAGAGTCTTCTCCAAGTATCGACTAGCGTTAATTAGATAGGAAACAGACGATCAACGTGCACCAACACAATCATGCACGTTACATGCTTTATTCCAATCTACATCTCCCCAACACATGTGACGCTTTTGGGTGGACTGCAAGAAATACTAAGTGATGTCGATTCAAACTGTTTTTGGATACACTAATTTATGTCTATAAGCAAGATGCCAGATAATGACATGTCATACTGAACTACATTTTGCACGTCTAGTGTAGTCGTGCGAAGGTCACAGTACAATACGGACTGTTCAGTGTGTTTATAATGCCCCACGTTATTCACTTTAGCGACGGATTTAGATCTTTTGCAGGCGCTATAGACATCAAGAGATACTGTAAGTTTTTTAAATAGCCTGAGCATAATTTCAATTAGTAGAAACGCTGTCAGGAATAAAGTACTTTTTGCTAATAAATATCATTAAGTAGGGGGAAGAACTAATACGAAAACAAAATACAACCACGTTTAAAAAGGCTATAACCCTCAAAGTTCGCGAGCTGTAACAGAACCAATACACACTTCGTTAGCCACATCTTAGTGACTTACTACTGATATATCTGATGACCGAATAGCTACTTTATAATGTTATTACGTAGTACTGACTACACTATATCTTTTGGCCCAGTGATTGCTGGCTTTCGTAAGTCAGAGTCAGTTGATTACACATTTCCTACTCATCCTTATGTCAAAAACTGCGATATACAGACCTCCTAATAAGTATTTGTCGAGTTATTGTATTTTGATTGCATCATAAGCGATTCATGATTTTAAACAATGATTTGTGACCATTCATCTAGCTTTTTAGTATTTTATTTTGAGATTTAGGGGCTTGTCGACCGTATGGTGAGCAGAGTTTTGGTGTACACGAAACTAAAAACGCTCAATAATGGATAGTCCCAACTCAATGTGTGTGAACCATTTCATACGGTAGTCATACCTACCGTTATTACTATTACAGGAACAATGTGTTGGGCCTTTGTCGAAAGATGAGTAGCAAAATCTGGTTGTCATTGATCACTATTGCAGACTATGGACGCCAGTCTGAATCTGGAGTCCTCAATCCATTCCTGCATTCTTGGTCATCGCACGAACCCGTAAAATCGTCTACCACCCACAAACAGGTCATCTGATAGGACGACTTTACAGATATTTGAAAGCCGTACTCTTAGCTCAAATCCTATTACAATGAACAAACGATCTTCCATTTGATTTCTCCGAATTTAGAATGCAATTAAAGCCAACTTTGGATGCACTACATCAAAGCGTGTCTATGGCACAACAATTTGACCACACATATGATTTCAACTCCTACGTGAACCCGCACACAAACGTTCTGAGACCAAGTCCACTTCCGTCCAAAAATAATCAGCCAGTGTGTTTGTTCACCAAGCCCTACCACATTATACGCATTTCATTTACGTCATGATTCATAAAACTAACCCCTTCACCCTGCATATGAAGGACCCTATGAAGATATGCATCGCAAACCAGGTCATATACCAACGATAAAAATGGAACAAAAGGTAAAATTAAAACAAGGCGGCTGGAAGCCACTCACATAATGGCATTGTTCTTTCTGATGGTTTACTCACGAGCGAACCGAAAGACACAGTCCCTGAAATTATGATGCAACCTCCGACAGTAAATGAAACTTCTCTGACATCTGATAACTGGTTCGAAACAGCATACTCTTGAAAAACCACCGGGTCACTAGCACGCCTAAATCACTGTTGTTTTAAACACTTTCTTATATCTTCCGTGTCTTGCAACTTATTGGTAGCATTTTAAATATTTATTGCGACTAAAACCAAATTTACAGAGAGGTCTGGCTTTTACATTTCCATGTACATATCTACTTAACAAACTACGACTACATATATGTATCTGCGAAAACATGACCTTAACATGTATGTAGCGTCTTTCGAAATCGTATATATATACGTAAATATTTGTGCTTATTTTCCGGATGATTTGTTTGCTTGCATAAGCAGACGTGTGTTCGACATGCACTTACGCTTTTCATTCCTTTTTCAAGACGACTGAAAAAGATGGAAAACTATATGCGGCTTCAAAGAACCGAACTAGTCATTCTAATGCATTTTCAATACTCACTCCATGACTTCTTAGAGAAGGAAAGGAGGGCCATGTGTTACTGTGTGTGACAAGTCACCATAAGAGTGTTTACCAACGACAAGCTCTTTATGTTTGAACTTATAATCATCTGCGTCTCAAGGTCCTTACTATATTA